GAAAAATAAAAAATAAAACAACATTTTAAAACTTTGAAATGAACTTTACCATTGTAGTTTCATTGTAAACTTTGCAACCAGCATGACATGGCGTAAAATACGACGTCTGGCCATCTGACCCGCAAACAGGTGAAAACGTTTGAGTTGAGCAATCACAATTTTGATTACAGTTTGTTTGTAGCGAGAACCTACTTATAAACGCTAAAAACATAAATTATTTAATCATAATATTATTAACTAACCCGTTGGAAGTTTTGACTCCATCTAAATTGACAGACTCACAACCCAGAAACCATCCAGAACCAATAGTCCCAACAGAGACTAGTTCGCAAATAAAAATAATGATAAACAGCAGTTTTGCTTTTGGCTTAAAGTACACAATATAAGCCCCTCCGATAATCAATCCAATTGTAACCGGAGCAAAACCCGTTGAACCAGTAATAGCACTAGCTTGTGAACTTGTCGTTCTATACTGTGTTTCAATGTATTTAGCATAATAAGCGTAAAAACCGTTTATTCCTGTCAATAAAAAAATTTGTTTAAAATGAATGATTTTGTTTTGATTGGATGTTTGTTTCAACACCTAATCAATTTTGCAACTATAATTTGATTACGAACCAAAAAATCGAGCCCAATTTCCAAGAAAGAAAAGAACTAAACAAAAGTTTGAGTTTTTATTACAAATAAAACTATTGAATAATAGTACCTAAAAGAGGGTTTTTGATAAAACGATAGCAACTTTCTACAAATCTACTTTGATGTTTTTCATTTTGCTTCTTCTGAAAAAATCATATAAATTTTTATTTAAATTGATTAATATAAACAAACCTGAATGGATTTTTGGATATTATTCGTTGACTTAAATTCAGATGGAAAAAAGAATAGAGGAAGTGAAGTTAAAATGACCAAAATTCCAGTGACAAAGAATCCTAACCACCAGGCACCAATAAACATAGGATCTGATTGCTTTATGCCAAATGAATTATTCCACGGAGTTTCGTATAAACTTAAAAAGTAGGCACTTAAAAAATAGCCTAAAAGTCTGCCTACTAAACTAACACCATGCATGATGCTAATCAACAAAGGTGAAGCTCCTGGTTGTGTCTCCTGAGCAATGTCATCAATGAACACAAGAGCAACGACGTAATACACAGAAAAACCAATACCTGAACAGGTGAAAAATTAACAATAGTAACTTTATTCTGTATGTTTCATTGCTGTTCAGTATACCTCTTAAAAAGTTTCCTAAAAACAGTATCATTACTGCTGGCCAAACTGTCGTTCCAATGGTTTTTTCATCTGAATTACAGTTGGTTGATGAGGGACATAACTCAAAATTTACTGAAGAGTTATTTTGAGTGTTTTGATTTTCATTCAAAAAATGATCGGAGTCAAAAAGGAAATACGGAAAAGACGTGAGTATTGAAGCTAAGCCAAGTAAAATTGAACTGTAAGCAATTATGCGCGAACGATTAAAACGATCAGCATAAAAACCGATTATCGGACTGAGCTGGTAAAAGCAGTAATAAATTAATGTTTGAAAAATTAATTTTGAAAACTTACTATTGTGCTCAAAAACAAATCTGATACCATGATAATTGCAGAAATTTTGGTGTTATACGAAAATCTTTTTTCAAGAGTGTTCATACTGCCGTAAAAAATTGAAGCAACCATTAACTGGCAAATGTTCACAACACAAAGATTGACAATAAAAACAAAGGGATTCTTGAATATTCTCCGACATCTTAAATTTTGTGAATGCTCAATGTCATTCAAAACTAAACTTTGTTGATTTTCTGCAATTGTAAAAGTTGAAATGTTTGATTGTATTACTGACATTTTAAAATTCTGAGCATAACTGCAAAATAAATAAAAATTTTTATAAAAACTGCAAAAATGTTTTACAAAAACAAACTATTCAGTTGTTTGATAAATGTAACAATTAAGTTTTTTATTGATAAAACATTTTCATAATCTTTTTAGATAAGAAATTGATTTGATATGTTAGTTTTGATTTTTAATATTGAAAAAATTATCAAGTGCAGTTTTATACTTTAATGTTATAAATAAATAAAATTTAAACTTGATTAAAACTTAAATATTAAATATTTTATAAAAATGTTTTTTAAAAATAATTTTACAAGTAGTTTTATAATAGCTATTTTGTGTTTAAAATTTTTATTTATTAATTTAAAAATTATATAAAAAACATTTATTTTTTATTATCTGAAATAAATAATGTTTAATTAGCAAATTAAAACTATTTCTAAGGCAATAATCACTGGCAGTGTACACATTACTAAATGTAAATAGTGTTTACATAAAAGCTTTCAATAAATGTTTTGACCAATTTTAACATTTATTCAGCCAAAACTAAATTACAATATTTTTTGACAAAGTAAATTTAATTGCAAATATAACCATGAAGATCGCTGCTAAAATACCAAACTTGTTTATTTTGATTTTAATTACAAGTGCCCATTTTAGCTTTACATTCAACATCGACGAAGAAGTCATAAATAAACTGTTGACCAATGTAGCATTTTTTTCTTACAAATGTTCAATGACACTTATCGAATTGCCAGTAAACTGTACCAAAACGCAAAAAACGTTCCCCAATGCTACTGAAATATCACTTGGTGGTGACACTAAAGCAGTAACTAGCACTGAAGTTTGCTGCCAAAATATAAAACATTTACTCTGCGTTATTCACGCAGTTAAAAATGAACCAATATGTAAATTGAAAAAAGTATCTGATGTTGTAGCTGATTGGAAAAAAGAAATGGAAGATAAGTTTAAGAAAGACAAATGTCTACTGAATGTATGCAAAGAGACTCATGATAAAGGGAAAAACGCTTTTGAAATTAATAAAAATCAAAGTAATTTGTGTATTTTAATTTTAACAATTTTTGTAGTAGTTTATTTTGTTTAACTGTTTTATTTTAGAAATAAACATTGTATAAAAAGTATATTTGAGTATAAAAAGTTTTAAAACATTTTGAGCACCTGTTGTGCAACGCAATTTTGTGCATGACTTTGTAAATTGGATCAATTTATATGTGATTCAAAATTATTTAAAAGTTGAGAGATCGATGTGTAAATAGATTATAGATAAAAGTGTTATTTTTGCGTTAATGTCTTTTGAAAGAGCTAATAATTAATTGGTGCTGAGCTTGCTGATGCCGCTGCAGACCATGCTTAGTGCTGAACGTTTGACCACAATTGTTGAATGTACACTGATTTGGGTTCTCCGCTGAATGCATTTTAGAGTGTTCTACAAGGTTATATTTTCGACAAAATGATTTCCCGCAATTTGGCCATTCGCAAACAAACCGACGTCCAGTATGGGTGGAGTTCTTATGTGCCTCAAGGTGAGCTTTTTGGGAGAATCTTTTTTCACAGCCGTTCCAGTCACAGAGATACGGTTTTTCAGCTGCGGCGCAGCAGTTGCAATTAGGCTTAGACTTTTTGCCGACAATCTTTTTAGCTTTTGCAGCTTTCTGCGACTCAATGATTGCTTGTAGTGAGTGGCCAATAACTGAAAAAGAATATAATAATTGTAATTAGAAATGAGTGTATTTAAAAAAAGCAAAAACCCAACTGTTGAGCACTGCTGGCCAGTTTTTCAAATGGTACACCTCCACAAACTTCTGCTCAGGACAGAATCAAAACAACTTTTTTTCTAACTGCGCAGATGCATGCATTGAATTAAAAAAGTTATCGTTTGATTTTGGCATTCACTTACATGGCACTTGTTCTCCGTTGGACAAGTTTTGATTGATTTGTTGTAATAATTGCTTGTACAACTCTAAATCACTTTCCAGTTTCTCCAGTTTAGCCGTCAAGCGTTGGTTTTCGGTAGTTTTGCTGTGCAGTTTTCTCTGAAGGGTTTGATTTTGCTCCTGTAACCGGGCCATTTGCTCATTAGAATCAGTTGTGATGACCGGCTTTGATCCGTTTACAGCCTGATTTGGTGGAATGTTGAGCATATAGGCCATTGAATTTGATGGCATCAAGGTACTGTAGCTGGGGTTCATCATCTTAGGTCTAGAACCGTTCCGTTGTTAGGTCATCAAAATGGTGACGCGGAGAAAAGAGGGAGAGGGAAAGATAGAAAGAGAGGGAAAGAAGAAAAGATGAAGAGAAGAAGAGAGGGAGAAAGGGAGCAAGGGAGAGGACGAGTAACTTTAAGTTGTAGAGAGAAAGAGAAGAGAGAGAGAGCAGTATTTGAGTGAGTGAGAGAAAAAGAGAGAGAGAGAGACTTGTTGGGAGAGAAACATTTTTGTGTTGACCCATTTGACTAGGGAGAAGGAAAGCGGGAAAAACTGCAACTGCTGGCAAAACTTTAGTTGTTGAAACACAGTCATAATTTAAAGATAAAGTGAGAATTGACCCGTAATGCAAATGATTCTATTTGAATTTGATATAGAATCGCATGTTGCCATTTTTGACAAGTAAATTAATTTTAATTGACTTTTTTCTAGAGCAGCAGCAACTTAATAATTATTTTTTGAAAAGAATATGTTTGATGAAAATTAATAATGAAGTTATTTAATAGTGCTATCGATTTTTGTTTGGCTTCCGATTATCTATGGTAACGATCAATTAATTCAGTATTTTATTTTTAGACATTTGTTATTAGCTTTATTGAAATAAATTATTCAAACTTGAAATATTGTAAAAGTAGTTCCTTTCCAAGTAAAATACAAATTCATTCTTTGNGCAACTTAATAATTATTTTTTGAAAAGAATATGTTTGATGAAAATTAATATAATGAAGTTATTTAATAGTGCTATCGATTTTTGTTTGGCTTCCGATTATCTATGGTAACGATAAATTAATTCGGTATTTTATTTTTAGACATTTGTTATTAGCTTTATTGAAATAAATTATTCAAACTTGAGATATTGTAAAAGTAGTTCCTATCCAAGTAAAATACAAATTCATTCTTTAACGCTCTGTCAAGTTTAACGGTTATCACCACTGAAGAATTTGCAAAATGTCTTTGTCTCTGTATTACTATTATTTGTCCCCTCCATCCCGTGCTGTTCTGTCCACTATGCGCCACTTGGGCCTGGAGCCAAAGCTGAAGATCACCAGCCCACTGGCTGGAGATACAAAGACAGCGGATTTTCTCAAGATCAATCCATGTCATGCGATTCCCGTTCTAAACGATGACGGCTTTATTCTGAATGAGTCTCGAGCCATTCTGATGTACTTGTGCAACAAATTTCCTAACGGAAAAGTGCTGTATCCTGAGGATGCGGTTAAACGAGCTAATGTGGATAAACTTCTCTTCTTTGATGGTACCACACTCTATCCAGCAATCACCGGTAGCATTATGGTAAGAATTTTAACTAAAACATGATAATTTTTAAACTAAAAAGAATATTTTCGCAACATTCAGCGTCCAATTCTTCGTGCAAAAACCAAACCCTCGACTGAGGAACTGGCCGTTGTGACTGAGAAGATGGCTACTTTGGAAACTATCATGGGAGACTCGGAATTTGTTGCTGGAAATGAAGTGACCATTGCCGACATTTCTATTGCCGTAACAATTCCCATTCTGAAAGCTATGGTTAATGAAAATTTTATTACTGCAAAGTTGCTTCGATGGTACGAGCGTGTGCTTGTTAAAATTCCTGCACTGAAGCAGCTTAACGAGGAGGCGTTCAATGGCTATATTGGATTGAAACACAACCTCCTATCTGCCACTTCAAACTAGATTGTTTGTTCTATAAACATAATTTACTTAGTTTTTAAAGTTTAAAGTAGAGTGTGTTGAAAAGTAATTATAATCAAATGTAACACAGTAGTATCTTAACATTACATAAAAAGTACATTTAGTAGACATTTATTCCAAACAATTAAAAAAATAAATGTTAGACAATAACAACGTTATAAAAAAGAGTCCGTTCCTTTATAAATCTTGAGTAGATACAAAATATATACAAAATGTAAAGCACTTTACCAAACCCTGATTACTAACAGATCATCCTTCGAATAGTAAAGAAAAGAATCGGTCCAAAAAAGGCAATAAGTCCAACTCCAATGACACCATAGGCGAATTCCAAATTTTTCTCCGATTCGCATGCAGTCTCGAGTTCGTTCAATTTAAAAAGAGGTTTGCAAACACATGTTGAATTAACTGCTAAATCCCCAGAACACGATGAGTGCTCAAAAACTTCGAAACAATCATCAACATAAAAGTCGCAAGGGAATCTTTCACACTGACCCCTATCAGTTTGGTAGTAACCAATTTTGCACTGACAAGAGCCGGAGACACATTCAGAGTTAGTGGGACATGAAGGAGAACAAGAGGGAGGTTCACTTAGAGGGACGCATTCCTAATTCAAAAAAAAATAAACTAGTTAGAAATCAATCCTTGCTTATTAAAACTGTTACCTGTTTTTGTTTGTCAAGACGAAACTTTGTCGGTGGAAAGCACTCGCATATTTTTTCCTTTTTCCTGCACATAGTGGAGTTGGTTTTAAAAGTCGATCTGCAGGCCTCATCATTGGCGCAAGAGTACAGTCTGCAGTTAAATCCATTGACGTGCTCAGAAACATGTCCCATCAGACATGAGCATTGGCCTGAAACGCATTGGGCGTGAGAGCCACAGCTATCATTGCTGGTACAGGCTGACTTTAACCTTATGCTGCACTTTTCAGTAGAGTCGTCCAGTTCGAAGGGGGCAGTGCATTGACAAGTTTGTGTTTGGTTACTGCAACTAGTGTGAAGGCCAAATTTCTGGCAATCTCCGTCCACGTGACATTTTTCTTGAACACAGGTATAATCATTGAGAGAGAAACCAAATCTGCACTTGCATTTGCCCTCATCACAGCGAAAGTTCTGCCCACACTGGTGGTCTGAAGTGCACTTGTTCCGAATGGCTTCAAAATTGACGCACTCCTGAGCAATTTCGTCTACATGATTCTTAGGGCCAAGACATTGACATGTGCTTGCTGGGCCACAAGTTGCTGCTGTGCCAAAAAGAGCACAAGTGGCATTTGTGGTCGTGCTGTTATCGCAGTTGTATGGTGCACACGATTGAGTTCCATTTTTGTCGCTGACCACTGTAGATCCTAGGGGACAGAGGCAGTGGCCACTTCTGCAGACTGCATTTGCCGTATGACAAGTGGCATTGGCCGAACAAATCTCGGCAAGTTGAGGGTTGTGCTTAACCACCGGTTCAGTGTGGTTGCCGGCTTCGGGTGCTGATGACACCAAAGTCAAGTTAGTCGAGAAAAAAAATGCAAAAACCAAACAAATGGACAAATTACAGAGAAAATTAGCCATCTTCTCAAAAAGAACACAAAGTGGGGTGTTTTTCGGTCACACTACAAAATATGTTTAAGAAAGTACACTAGTGGATGATTTGGAATTAATTTAGCAGCACTAAATATAATAGTGATCGATTAAACCATGAGATTGTAACCACTAGAGACAAATGGCTTAAACTGGTATCAAGTATAAAAGGAAGAAACAATTTTAAATTTTTCTACATGCATTAGTAAACATAACTTTTACAGCATTTTGTGAAACTACTGATCTCAATACTTCAACTTTTTGCTTTCCAAACACATTTTCAAATTGAGCTTCAACTTGTTCCTCATTCAAAGCAATCATTTGGCAAATTTTGAACTTTTTTGCAGATGTAAAAACTGTAGCAAAATGTTTTAAATATTCCAGTCCAATAATATCATCATTAAGCTGTATGCTAAATTGAACTTCTTCAATTGAGCAGCTCTGAAGTTGGTTGTGGTCTGGTCTTCTGTGTTGAGGATCAGAAATGCAGTTTAAACGCAATCTAAGTGTTTTTAAAGTTGGCATTGATTTGATCACTTCATAGAGTTGTAGAAAAGTGTCCTAAAATAAAAAACCAAATATTAATAAAAGTTTAAAAAAGAAACACAACTTACAAAAGCTTTCGGCCTTTCAATATTTAAGTACTCAATTGCCTCAAATGCTGTCCACGAACTAGGCAGTTGTGAACATCGTTTTAGGTTATTAAGCAATGATAGTTGAGTCACGTTATTGAATAACCGTTGGTTTGAGTTAAGCTTCAAATCGCCACTGATTTGAATTAGTTTAGTAATTTTCGGCACAGCCAAACGAAGCACTCGATGACAAGTTATATTTTTTGAATAAACAGAAAGCTCTTCTAGCTTAGGAAGTGGCTTGAGTGTATCTGAAAACATGTGAAAATCACTGCTGTAAAATTGGAGCTTTCTAAGGTTTACTAGACAGTTTAGATGATTCAAGATAGCTATTTCTTCATGAACTGTACTGGAACTGACTTGAAGGTGAAAAGAAGTCAAAGTTGTAGCCCAGCTGCGCAAGATAGCCAAATCAAATTGTAACATTTTGTTTTCAAAATCATAGCAAATAGCAAAGTTAGTGACATTTGGAAAAAGCCGGCCGAGAAATGATGCTCCATCATCTGAATGTTTTGGTTGTTTTTTCAGCTTCTTATCTTCTTTAGGTAAACAAAGAATAATACTATTTTGCAAAGAAACGCCTAATGAGAGGCTTGAGCAATTAAAGAATGATAAAGAAGAAAAGTAATTTTGAACGCTCGTTGAAGAGTCAAAAACGTGTAAAATTTTTTTGTCAAAGCATATAGTTTCAATGAGTTGCTTCCAATCTTTGGAAACAACTCGAAGTCGGACAACTTGATTTATTGTAAGATTTTCATAAATGACTTGATGGCAGTCGGCAGGCAATGATAAAATGTTCATTTTAAGTGAATGATCAACTTATATTTTGAAAATAACTTCTTTCCTAAGCACATTTAAAAACGGCGGTTTGTTTTGAAACAAATGCAATTTTTGCCTGGAAGAAAAATGCAACATTTTTTTCTTTTACTCTACTCTTCCTTCTAAAAAGAGAAGATTGTATTTAGACGATAGTATCGATGAGAATTGTGTATACAGTATACTGTATACAGAAGAATACAGAATGCAGAATTTTATCCAAAACAAGAATTTTATGTTTATGCTATCGACTAGTTGTTGCATTGGTTTTTAAATGATTTTCTTTATTTCAAATATTTGTCAACGCATCTTTCAATCATATATTTACTTTTGAAGCATTTTATTATTCACCATTGCAAACCTACAGTTGCAAAACTGATATGTTTTTAAAACATGTGAAAAATGTTCTCTAATCAGTCAGTGTATCTTCATTGCAACACATGGTCAATGAAGCGGAACTGCAGAACTGTCGCCAAACCATTTGATGGCCTTCGCTCCCTGTAGATGACAACATCCAATTTCAAATCATAGCTCTATCGAAGATTAATTGTGGTAATTGGGAACAGCAGGCTACCTCAGACCAGAGACTCAACTGTAATGCGTGACAAATAAGTGACATTTTTATTTCCATGAAAGCACAGACGCCGTTTCTCTCTCTCTCCACATGACGCAAGCACTGATTTGATAGCACAAAGGTAAACACTGTAGCACTGTTTTTGCTGCTGTCAGGTAGTGCAGAGAACGTATTGCCGAACCTGGGGAGCGCCCGTCATTACCTCAGATAGAGTAGTGTCCAATTGGTTGCCGTTCGGTTCTCTGGTACCTTATGGACGTGTGAGGGCATGAACTTGCTAATATGTTCATCAGCGTTCATCAATGTTCATCACCATNGCCCGTCATTACCTCAGATAGAGTAGTGTCCAATTGGTTGCCGTTCGGTTCTCTGGTACCTTATGGACGTGTGAGGGCATGAACTTGCTAATATGTTCATCAGCGTTCATCACCACCTAATCAAGGCCAATAATGCAATGGCTAGTAATCAACCGGGAGATCCATTTTAGGAGGTGAAGAACAGTGTGTGTCATACACTTCAGATGACATGACATTGCTATAATGTCGCCGGTGATTACCTCATTTATTACTTCTATTGACATTGAAAGTCAGTTCAATTAAGGCATTATGTCATCTCCGTTGTCCAGCTGATCACGAGGAGACATTTCATTAGTTCTTCATAACAATACAGCAAATATAAATCATTTCGAACAGGGTCACTGAAGTCTTTGACTCTTTTTCTTATTAAAAATTCACAGCAGTTCGTTAGATGAAGAAACTTGTATCGCATTACTTAGACGATTAGATGGATTTTCTATTGACACTGGGCTAATAACACTAGTTGTTAGGCCGCTCAGTCAATGCACTAAGATGTCCATGAAACAAGGTGAAAGCGGTCATGTCTTGGTGTCATGTAGGAAGCAATGAGGGAAACTTCAGAGGCCGACAAAACTCTAAAATATACTAATTATAGTAGAAGATCAACCGATGCAGAAGAATTTCAACGTGACGCAATTTTACTAAAATTCATTAATAATTAAGGGTTTTTTGCTTTTGGTTTTTCCTATTTTAGCAACTGCTTCACGGGAATTTGTTTATTGTTTTATAGTCAATTAATTAAAATACAGTTTTTCAAACTGATTTTTGTTATGTTTACAAACATTAATTATAATGTTTGGTGGTAGTGTTAATTCTTAGTTAAAACAAAACATTTAATTGTTTTTTACATTGCAATTTCAGAGAGTTTTTGAATGCTTTTTAGATATACTTGTAGTCTTTCTAAACAAACACAAAATGCCACAAAACGTGAGCAAAACAACTTTTATCAGGAAAATTCACTTTTATTGCTGTTTTCTCTCATGCTGCTAGAGGGTTTGTACAATCTGTACATTTCATATGAATCATTTTTGCTGATGATTTTTTCCTGCATTCAAGATTAGACGTATTATTGCTAGAAATGACTCACTAATTCTATTGATCATTCATTCATTCATGGCCATTCACTTAGTGCATTTACTACACATGTTAAGTAATACTAAAGAAAAGAAAAAGAAACAAAAAATTGCATAATCTTTTTCTAGTAATGACAGCACTGTTCCATTGTTTGGTGTCAATTGCGCTAATCCAATTAAAATTAATTTTCAATTTTATATCATTTTAATTTATGTAATTTTTCACTTGCACTTTATCTTTAAGCAAAACGATTAAATTCAGGCCAAACTACCTGTTGAAATTTTTACTAAATGAAAAACTGAATTTCTCTTTTTTGACTTTTGTTTTGCACCATCAGTTGATGCAAGCCAATACACTGATCAGCTTTTTGAAGTCGTGGCAAAAGCTAATCTTAGCACACTTTATGTCTACAATTAACTAAAAAAGCAAGTGAAAGAGTCGTTTTTGTCTTGAAAATTGAGGTCTATCTCTGAGAAAACTGTTGAACATGTTCTCTCGAAAAGATGCGTCGCCGTGGTCAGTTGTGCCTTGTCCAGTCATGATTGCTAACAACCATGCACTCAACTGTACACAGTCATTTTCGCCTGCTAGGCAGAGAGTTGTGTCCGACAGAGAAACCGGCTTCTCTGCACCTCACACACACACACACACTCACCGTCTCTCGGTCACAAATACCGCTAGTGTCCCGGTTGTCTGCTCGCTGAGCTCAATTGCACCTGATTGCCATTCCTTTCTCCTGACGCTAGCAGCAATCCATTGATCCGATAGTGGGCTTTTTCCCCCAACTTCTTTTTCCTTTTCTTTTCTCTTTTGTTTTCCTGATCAGTCTTGTTAAAATATCACACTGGAGGATAAGGTGCCGACCGTATTTACAGAACTGTACACACTCTCTCTCCCACCAGTCACAGTGATCGTCAAAAGAGCCAATTAGTTCGAGCAAAGTCTACTCGAGCATTGCGTCTGCTGCGGTGGAGGCACATGTAAGAAATCGATTTGACATCGCCTTTTCTCGGCTAGTCAACGCAAGTGATGAGAGAGAGAGAGAGAGAGAGAGAGAGTGTGTGTGTGTGATGGAAGAGCTTGACACCGCTTTCACTCACTTACCCAGCACTTGTTCATTTCCTTTTCATTTCATCAGCATTCAACAGCGTCTTCGGAGATGAAAGCTTATCAGCAACGGCAGCGGCAGCAGCAGCAGTGCACCAAAAGTTAGCCCTGACGTACTGCCGTACTGGGAACAAACCTCAGAGGCAGTGCTTCCACCGCTAGCCAGACAGCAAACGGTATGCAGAGCACTGCTCGCTGCAACAGTCATCAGCATCAGCATCTCCAGCGGCAGCAGTAGCAGCAACGTCAGGCCGACAAGCAAAGTGGACAGTGTGCCAGGGCGCCAAGTGCTCTTCTCTGCAGCAGCAGCCAGTAACCTCTTTTTCTCTTCTTGTCCGAAGTCAAGTCACAGTCAGTCAGTGACTCTTGCAGACGAACGCGCGAACTACGCCAGGCAATTGTATGTCATCGGACAAAGACTGCAGTCGGCAAGGCAGTCCCTTCCACTAAGACTTTCAATCTGATCGATGCTTTCTTGGCGCACTCACTTTTCACTTTAACTTTCAGTGTCCGACCGTGCAAGTCGCACATGTCATCCTCATCTCTCTCCAACTGACACCCTCCCCAGTCTGCCCCTCTTCTTTCTCCGCCCTCCTTAGCAGGGGTACTGATCTCATCTGCTTATCACCTCTTCCTGCTTTGTGATATACCAGCGTATAAATAACCTCCGGAAAAGACTGCTCCCCAAACAGCCCATCAGTGTCAGTCATGAAACACTGACAGATCCTGTGTTTTTCTCTTCAATCGCACCATTTATTGTGTCAACTTGTGTTTATTTTTTTTAAACGCAAGACCCCATTGAGCAGTACTGTTTTACCGGCCTTTTTCTCTCTCCTACTAACCTACCTACTGTAATAATGGTGCTTGTCTACATGTCGCTGATGGTAGCCACCATCGGCGAACAGGTGTACAACTTCAACCCATGGACAATCGTGGGGCTGCTAGCAGCTATCGTCTCCAGTCTGGTCATTTTTAATTGGGACTTTATTGTCCGCTTCTGGTTCACATTCCCAAGAGATATTCGGTAAGTTTTGTTGCTGTATAGTGTTATAAAATTTAAATAAATAGCGTTTTTGGAAACAAAAAATCAATGATATTGCTTTTGCCTTGAACTTAAAGCCTTGCCCATAATTTGATACAATTTAGCTAAATGTTTAAATGATGCTTTTATCAGCTAAACCTTGAACTACGTTTTTAAGAAATTGACAAAATCTCTTTTCCAACTTGTTACTTATTTAGTAACATTGCGCAAAAATAGTTTGTAAATTTTAACCGTTTTAAAGTGTTGATAAAAATGTGATTTATTTGAGCAGTGATAATATAAAAATTAAGATTATTTATGTGCACCTTGGTTGTTTGACGTCATAATATTTACTGTCATTTAACAAATTGATTGTTTATTTTAATTTATTTTTTTCAAAAAATCATTTTTTAATTTTGAAATTTTATTAAGCAAAACCCGAACCTGTTTTAAGTAAAGTAACATGAAATGTTGCATCTATCTTGCGTTTTCTTTTTATGAACGCAGTTTTGCGTTAAATTCTAAAAAATAGATTCTCTCAGATAACGCTATCTAAAATGCGCACTTTTAAATTGATTTTTTATTTAAAAATATGTTAACAAATATACATTAGAGTAATACAGTATGCAATAAACAACTAAATTTAAAAATGTGATACGAGAAAATAACAGTTTTTGTTATCTGGAAAAACAAATAGGAAGTTTACGTTGCACTAATTGAAAAACGATACTGATTTCGAAAAGCGACACATGTCACGTGCGCAAGTTGAAATGTCTGTTTTAATTTTCTCAAAATTTATTTCAGAGCTGGTATCGCCCTTCTTCGCTCTCGATACTTTATGTTCAAAGCACGAAACCTCAATGTACCAATGCTGTTTTCTCAGCTTGCAACTCGCCACCCTGAAAAGGTTGCTTTCTACTACAAAGATGAGAAGTGGACTTACCAGCAAATGGATGAATGGTCAAATCGGGTGGGAAATGCTTTTGCTGCAATGGGCTACCAACCTGGAGACGAGGTGGCACTGGTAATGAACAGCAGACCAGAGTTTGTTGGCATTTGGCTAGGCCTGGCAAAAAATGGCATTGTCACTGCCTTCATCAACACTAACCAGCGAATGGAAACACTAGTGCACTCTATTACAGTGGTCAAAAGCAAAGCTGTCATCTTCGATACTATGCTCGCTAAAAGTAAGTTGAATTGAAAAAATACTTTTTTTGTTTTTCAAAGTGCATTTGTCTAACTTTTTAAAATTTTTATTTTTTAGGCATTCAAGAAGCAATGCCAATGATTGAGGAAAAAATTCCGCACATAGAATACTACAGCTACACCGGAAAAGACGTGCCTGATCCGCTTCCTGACACTGTCGCTGCTTCGCTCACCAAAATTCCTCATCGACCGCTGGAGGAGGTTCTTTGGAACGCCTCCTCTGCCACTCCGCTCAATGCGCACAAGCAGACAATGAACGATAAGCTGTACTACATCTTCACCTCTGGCACCACCGGTTTACCGAAGGCTGCAGTCATTCGCCACCACCGCTACATTTGGATTGGCATGATTCTTCACTATCTTTTTAACATTACGGACGATGATGTTCTATACCTGACACTGCCGCTGTACCACAACAATGCCGGAACTATTGGCACCTGTCAGGGAATTATCTTCGGCACCAGTATCGTGTTGAGGGATAAGTTTAGTGCTTCACAGTTTTGGGATGACTGCATCAAGTACAACTGCTCTGTGGCTATGTACATCGGCGAGCTGTGTAGATATCTGCTGGCACAGCCTAAAAAGGCTTCAGATAGTCAACACAAAGTCCGACTGATGTTTGGCAATGGTTTGCGACAGGAGATTTGGAAGGACTTTAAGAATCGATTCAACGTGAAGCAGATTGGCGAGGTTTACGGTTCAACAGAGGGCAATGCTAACGTTGGTATGTTTTTGTATAGCAATTAGAGTCTGGTTAGCTTATAATTATAACTTTGCCGGTTTTGTTGTTTCTTTCAGCAAATTACGATTTCAAAGAAGGTGCCTGTGGAATCATTCCATGCTGCGTGCCCTTCATCTGTCGTCTTGTCTTTCCAGTGACGGTTATTAAGGTGGACACTCAAACGGGTGAATACGTTCGGGACAAGAATGGCCTCTGCAAGTTAATCAAGCCAGGTGAAGTAGGCGAAATCGTAGGAAAAATTCGCCCCGATGCTGGTCAGGCTTACCCCGGCTACGTAAACGATGAGGCGACTAAAAAGAAAATTCTCTTCAATGTTTTCAAATACGGTGATTCAGCCTTTCTAAGTGGTGATTTAGTAGAGATGGACGACTACGGTTATCTATACTTTAGGGACAGAACGGGAGACACATACAGATGGAAAGGTAATGTTAAACTGATGACCAATATAACTTTTCATTGCTAATTTACATTGTTTTTCAGGTGAAAACGTGTCAACAAACGAAGTTGAAGCTGTGATTCAAAAAGTAGTGAAGCTGTCTGACTGTGTCGTCTTTGGCGTCTCAATACCTCACTGTGACGGAAAGGCAGGCATGGCTGTCATTGCCGATCCTAATCGAATTGTCGATCTATCATCACTTTTTACTGAACTTACCAAACGACTGCCAGCATACTCAATTCCCCTGTTTGTTCGAATCACTAGCCAAATTGAACTGACCGGGTCATTCAAACTGTCAAAGACAAATCTCGAAAAAGATGGATTTGACATTAATCGAATTAAAGATCCACTGTACTTTCTAGATAGAAAGGTTGGAACCTATGTGCTTCTGGATGCATCCCTTTACGAAGACATTCTAAGTGGACGACTGCTGTTGTAGATAACATGCAGGACATTTTTGTACATTTTTAATGCTTTCTGCCTTTTTTATTTGTAATATTTAATTTTTATTTGTAATAAATGAATTTGTATATTTTTATGTTATTTCAGCAGTTCAGAGCTAGCACACAAAGTCAAAAAATACATAGTTGCAAAATGTTTATTAAACATGCAAAAAACAGCTAAAAGTTTTAACGATCTGATCTCGTATTTCTTGGGTTTTGATGGTGGCGGTTGCGACTTTCCTGCAAATGACTTGGCTGAAAGATGAGGAAGCAAAAGACGATGATTCCTCCAATGAGCAACGAGTTGACCGCGCCTAGGACTACATTGAGCCAAATGTTGACTGTGTTGAAGTTGCTAAACTCTTGCGGCTGTTCGTCTTGCTCAGATGTCAAACAACCAAAAAGATCTTGTAGATTGAGCAGTGACTTCTCTCCGTAGACCTTAGCGCCCTTTGCTAGCGGTCGATCGGGTTCTGCCGTGAATGTCATCGCCGACGGATCAAAGGTGCCCAGCATGCGTTCGGCAATGTAGTACATCCGACCTGAAAGGTGAAACAGTCCTTTGATGAAGCCTTGCTCGTTGCTGAACGTGTTTATCATCTGGACGTTGTTCAGGCTGCCGCTGTAGATGGCGATCATCTGGTAGCCGGCGTCAGTGTTAGCCTTAGTGTAGGCCACTATGAGCTTGTTCGACGACTCAATGTAGTGCGTCACCTTATGTTTGGCCCCTTTCAGTCCGTCGATGAGTACGTTCATTCGACTGGTGTCTTTGTTGCCATCGGCCCAAGAGAGAAAGTGCGTGCAGGCGATACAGGTGCAGTGCTTACTGCGACGAATCCACACAAAATAATCATAGTCAGTGCTCATCAGAAGGCCAGTGTCCTTGGGGAATGATGTAAAGTTGCTTGAAGAAACCAAAAAGCCAGTGATGCCACCGTGAATGAGAGAAACGTAGTCTGAAATTTAGGTGAAACACAGCAAAACATTAAAATCGTTGTTTTTTGAGAGCATTATTGATCCCATACTTGCCTTTGTGATCAGTTTTTGCTTTTAGGAAAAACAGTTGTCGAATTGTTTTTTCCTGTTTTGGCAGTGACCAATGTTCATGCTCTTCATAGTTGCCTCCATGTGACATCCACTGTGCATCCATAAACTGAACAAAGGTCAAGTCATCTAGACTATACACTGCACTCAATTTAGTTTGCTTGCAAAACTTCAGTTCTCTATCCAAACCATATTGCATGACTGAGTTAGCAATATCCAAAACAAAGCAGATTCCACATAAAAAAATGATTACTTTTTTAAAAAGTGCACTCATGTTAAGTGACAACTAAAAATGCACTATTTAAAAAACCATGAAACTGCATTAAAAAGTTGTAAAATAAAAAAATTTTTATCGAATTTAAACTGAATGTTTTTAGAACATCGAACTAAAAATATTTATTTTTCTTAAAACTAAAACAATTATCTTAAAACTAATTATCACACCGGAAACTCAATGTCAATGCTAATTATGGTTTGCCGAGAACTACCAAACACTTTTTTGATGATTGATAGCCTTGAAAAAGTGCGTTTTTTTATAAGCTACGCTAATGGTTTAACGATCATGATCTAATTAATTGATCAAGTGCTCTTCGTCTATTATAACTGAATTTATATAAACACTGTAGCGCTTGTTTTAATTTATTATTATTTAGTTATTGTTTTTGTTGAAGCTTCAAACTGCCGCGTTTTGATTTTTCAGACTGGACACTAGTTGTAATTATTTTTCACCGCCGACTATCACAACCACAAGTTGAGCGAAAACAACCAAGCTTAGCAAACACCACTCATTCGGACAACATGTCAGCATCAGGTTCAGTTAGTGGACAGTCTCGCTTGAGTCGTTCTCGAGATTCAAGAACTCGATTGGGAACTCATGACTCAAACCATCACTCACATAGCTTTAGAGGCGACAGAGCTCGCTCCGGATCGCCGACAGAGTTTTGGAGAAGATCAATTATTCAACGTGAAGGAATCAGCAATAGAGTCTATGATCTAAATGTTTTTATCTACAAAGGCATTGAAAAGTTCTTAGATAAACAAGCAGTTAGAGATTTGATCATGCAATTTGATAATGAGGATATTTTCATTGGCGGTGCTGATATTTTTTTCAGTAGTCTACATTCTGATGAAATGACTGATACTAATTTTAACCGAAACGACAAGAAACGACTTCTTGATGTGGTAGACATACTCAGCGCGGTGCATTCTGGCAAACCAGAGTAAGTGTAATTGGATCACAGTTAAGGTAATTAGCTTAACTTTTAAATATCTTTTCAGAGGAGAATATCCTGATCGCAGCAAACTAGCTGGGCCAACACAAAATGGCGCAAAACGAACTAATGGCGGCCCGTTTATTAAACCTCGATCATCACTTTGGACATCTTTCTTTTCAGCTATTCGTATAAAAATTTTTCATGTTCATCAACGCCAAAAATCAGCTATGCGAGAGCGAAGTGACAGTGAATTTTTTGCACACTATCCATAAAAAATATTTTTTAATGTAATTCACTAGTTGACCTGCAGATTTATTGTTAAATGACAAATAAATGTGTATTACTAAAACTAACTGAGCAAATACTTTAAATTAAAAAGCACATTCTTGTCACTGATGTCGTCGTTGTACTTCTTTGGAAAGTTAACTGCTTTTTGTGCATTTATACAATCTTGGATGTTCAATCTTATCTCAGACGGCACCTCAAGTGATGGTTATATAACGTCAATTGAGCAGCACACATGTTCGTTGAATCAGCCATTGACAACACCAGCAGACCTCCCTATCAGTCCGCCTCTGTCTCCGTCTTTGTTTTCTGCTCTGTCAGGTCAGGCAAAGCTAAATTGCCTCAGTTTTAGTGCAGTTGTTGATAAGGCACTGCTACAGCGATCAACTGTTGCAACTTACTTTGGCATTACCCAAGTCATCTAGTATGTGCGTATACGTGACAGTGTGTGGATAACGGGTGCAGTCGCTAGTAAAGTGTGAGAAATATTTTGCAGTTTTAGAAAAAAAAGTCTAATACTATGAATGTCTAAAGATATACAGATGCATATCGATGCATTTAAAGTGTGACACAGTGAAAATGTACTTCGGTTGAAGTAGAAAAAATGAGCTGATAGTGAACTCAGTCAATGAACAGTGATTGAGACAAACGTGTGCCTACTGATAATCTAAGCCAATATGATACTGCAAGTTCAGCTACTATTTGTAATGTTATGCGTTTAAACGGAACAATGGAATAAAATGAATTTAAAAAAATAGTTTTTGTTTGTGTTGTTCGTAACAAAAAAATAAACAAAACAAATCGTTATAATATTTCCAAACAATTACCGGTTATCATTAACTACTATACAAGTTAGTTTTTTAATAATTGAAAAATAAAACACTGTCATTATAATTACAATTAGGATAGTTTCTTTAAATAAATTAATGAATTAATACAAAAATATAAACTTTTTGTTTTGGTAAAAATAAAACAGATTTTAGCAAAACTTTTTGTATATAAATTGTTTTATTGTTTTAATTTGCAGCATTGAACTTATAATTTAAAATTTTTTATTGAAACAAATGGCAAAAATTTTTGATAGTTAATTAGATCAAGATGTTATTTTTAATAAAGATAAAAACAACAACAAAAATTTAGTTTTTAGTTTTGATTTAGAAGATGAAAACGAAGATAAAATGCGCAACAATGAAGCAATTTTAATAAAAGAAAAGAAAAATGTACTTAATGAAATAGATGCAAAGTTTGTGTAAGTAAAAATTTTAATTTTTCAACAACATTTTAAAATTACTTTTGCAATTTAAACGTGGTGACAATTCTTCATGGTAAACTTGATTTTTATTTATAATTATTCACAAATTTACTGAAGAATGTTGCCAGTTTAAAGTTTGCGCTTATCATCAAACTTTATGTTAAATTTAAGCATTGTTAATTGCTAATAATTTTTTTAGCAAAAATGTAAAATGCTGTATTGATTGTAATGCTTGTCAACAAGGAAACTTTTTAAATGATTTTATTGGTATTGTCAAAATAAAAATTTTTAATGTTTATCGCCGAACAAACCTCAACAAAATTTTAAAATTTTTATTATAAATCTATTTTTGGTAACGTAACAAAATAATACGTTTATTAGTTTGTGATTACAAAAATAACATGCCAACTTATTTTGTTTGTAAACATATTAGAGTTGTTTTGTGTAGTTTTACAGGAACATTACACCAAGGTGCGTCATTCTATGCTGCTTATTTTAATCAACAAATCTAAAAATAAAACTTGTTTTACGACTGCATATGAAACCAACTATAACATTTTGTGTTTATTTTCAACATAAATGTCATTTTTAAAACTATTTGTAAATCTTAAAAAAATTTTTTAAAATAAAAATTAAAACCAACAAAAATAAATCAGTTTTTCTTTTTGCCGCAAAAACACTGGTTTATTCTCGTGTGTCTTCAGCCAGTTATGAACACTTTTTTTAACATACTCAATGATAATAAAGATAATGTTTTTGAATTCAGTAACTGTCGCTTACAGTGGGTAGTGATAAAATAAAAAAGTCCAAGGGAGCAGTTATAGTTACAAAAAATGCCATTGGCACACTTCTACAGCACGCGTCTGTGTCTTGGAAACTTACCACTGTCACCAAGTGCACCCAATTGCCCTTTGTACACGCATTCACACCGCTACATTAACAACGGCTCGTGCCATTGGCAAAAAGGCAACATTGTCACACACTGATTGACTAATTCTACATTTTATACTTTAGTCTTATGAACCTTAGACTTCTTAACAGCTTTCGTTTGTAAAATAGGTCCACTTTCTAAAGTAATTGTTAAAGTCAAATCATAAAAATCATAAAAGTCTATTGACTTTAGTTCAGTACTAGAAACTTGAAACAACTTTTTATAGCTAACAGTGGAGGTTTTTTTAGTTAAATTGAATTGGCCATAAATTGTCTTAATGATTTATAATGCGCATTAAGTTTTTGTAAAATTTAAATTTTTTTAAACAAGAGTTTAACTTTAAAAAACCTGACTGTAAAATAACGCAATGAAAAATTAACTAGTGGTTCTTTTACAATTGTACTCAATATTTTGTGTTTTCAGTTAATCACGCTAAGGCTTTTGATGCTGCGAACAAAATGGTGCAACAGTCATTTTAGAGCACACTTGGGCAGTCATTTCCTGCTAGTCCTAATCACCGTCAAACCACACTATCAGCCCAAAATGTAGACCATAAAAATAGAAGAGCAAAATTGCCGTGGGCTTTTGCACCTCAGTGAGACGCATTGGCACGAGGGCAGAACAAAGACAAACCACCGGCAGGCGCCTCGGTGCAGTGAAGAGAAGCACGTGCTCTATTAGTGGGCTTTGGGTAGACAGCGACTGGCACAGACGATGATGTGACGCTTATCTGAAGTGTATTACCTTACAACTTTAGCCACAGTAGTAGTAGTAAATGGTGGAGTAGAACGACGTACACTGGCCGACCGAAACACACACAGTTAGTCAACTAGTCAGTGCTCACACTGATCGGCACTTTGCAGCATCCACTTCCACTGTTGATGTTGGAGATATTGACTATGTGGGTGGCAAAAACTGGGAAGAGGAGCATCAATCAAAACTCGAAGATCAGAGATCAAACAGAGATTGAGCCTGGAGAGTACATTGAAAAAAACAGCAGCAATCAAAACAAGCAAATAAGAAAGAAAAAGAAAACAGCTTTGGGGAAACCTCTGATAAAGTCATTGACGACATACTGGAGCAAACAAGAAAATAACAAAACAAATGCAAAAAAGTTTGTCGTCACTCTAGATTTTAAGTTCATCCAAAATTTAAATTTTACTTTGATTAAAACAAAATTTTAATTTTTGATTTTACCAAGGCGTCTGAACTCTAAGTACATCTCACTCTAGTTGAGAATCGCCGTACTAAAGTTGGCCAGACACAACGGGGAGATGCCGGTTGTGTTTTCCACTGCACAGTTTATGATGTGCTTCTATGACATTAATGACAAGAAGGTGTGGGTGCACATGTAATAGTTGAGGCTAATCTTTTTACTTTTTTATAAGGTTCAAGGTGGATAAGTTGATACAGTAAGTGCACTATATCTGACCGAGTAATTAATTAAATATTTTGAATCTATTTTACAAGCAAATAACAAAATTTGTTATAGTTAGGTGTTCAGTTTTTAGTTTTTAAAACGGAAGTTACTGAAAATCACTCTAAAACAAACTCAAATATAAGTAAAATTAAGGATATTTGGTATTATCCGGTATGAAACAAATTAAAAGCAGACTAATTAGTTTTTACAACCCTATTTCAGTTTAGTTAAAGGTTAGTAGTGTCAAAACTTGCGCTCAGTCTTGACTAGTTATAGCACATAGTGCGATTCTATAGATAATGCAAAAATGATATCACAGTGAACAGATGAGTTGCTTGTTGCACTCATTGTCTGACGGATTATGAAAGATAATCCTCCAGTTCTTGCTGAGCATAGAAAAGTGGTAATTACTGGTGAGCGAACAGTTGGCAAATTAATATATTAATTGTATTTTTAACATTAGATTAAAAGTCCACAATGTACTCTCCCTTAGTTTTACAAAAGTACATGAATATCTGTTTCAAAAATGTTTTCTGGTTATCTTCACTTGTCACTAGCTAAACAAGAAGAAAACTCCTCAATTAGTCAAGTGGACAATGTACTTTGTCTGGGAGTGAACACTTTCTTCTCGTAGGTGAGTATCACCACACACAGAAAGCACTGAACTGCACTGCACAGCACCACCCTGTATCAGTGTACGAGTCGTGGTGATAATCATGGTTAGCATTACAGTTGTCAGGGGCTCATGCCACTACACTTGCATGGGCACTGATTCGTTTGGAAAACGTAAATGGCCATATATTTGGAAGTGTCCATCAAAGTTTGCAAAGGTTAACCATTAAGTCAATTGCACGCGTTGAAACCCAGTAAAATGCTTGCAAATATTTTATCAAAACATCTTCAGCAGTAGAGCATCAGCTCATTGGAGACATTTATTGACCTAACGGCTATGAGGATACAAAATGTGCTGAAAGTTCCCGTTTTAAAAAAAACATAGCAAAAGAATTGCAAACTTCCCCTTGGCACAATACAGGTACGGCTTTTTTCTCAGCTGTACAGCCTCACTACAAGTGCCCCCCAAGAGATCAAGTGCAAGTGCTGTTGATCCAACAACAGCAGCATCAGCAGCAGCTGTATGTCTCCACCGACGTATCGCATCGGCAACTGGTCGATTGCTTAAGCATCTTTCTCTTTCTCTCTCTCCCAGACCGGCTGGCTCTCTTATCGCGTGTGCAGCAACAGCAGAAGCTGGAAAGTAATCGGCAAAGTCCAAGTTGTGCCTCAGTCAGCAGTCAGTGGCAATATCATTAGCCGGGCTCATGATTAGCAGTCACCACCGGCACCAGCAGGACAACCAGAAGCATCACCATCATCATTATCATCATCATCAGCGGCGGCAGCAGCAGCCAACGAGCACTCGCGCGCCAAGCAAAGCAAGCGCACTCTCAGAGCAAAGTGACAACTGCAGCGTACTGCATTTAAAGTAGTGCACTGGTACTATGGTGGCGAGTAAGAGAGAGTCGTGACAGCGACCACAAGGACTTCATCTTCATCTTCTCCTCGAGTGAAGCACCCAAGAAGTGTTGAGCATCATTTCATTTCAGTCTTGCCACTGATTGCGTGTTGACACTAGTGCACTGCTCTCAGGCAATCTCACCAGACGGACTTCACCACATCTCTCTCTCAATCTCTCCTACATCTTTTTCTTCCTCCCCACCATTTCACTGATGGCTTTCATCATAATTTTCCTTCCTTTAACCTATCAGCTGAACGTTCTCTTGGCTCTCTGACAGATCAGCTTGAAGATTGTGTCATATCGGTGGTAACCTTGAGGCCTCTTTGTGCTCATCACTTCCCTTAGTGGTTCCACTTGACAGAGTCTGCTAGTGCTCTCTCCTTGAAGCACTCTCTTGGAGCGCACTGCTGTCCTCCTGTCTGTCTGCTCTGGAATGATGCACTCGGAAAAGGAGTACCAACGCCGATCGCCAAACTCTGCTGCCGGCTCTCAGCCCGGGTCTCGGCACCAGTCTGTGGGAAGCAGCGATGCCTCCAGCATAATAGCACTGGCTGAGTACCTGCAGGCTCAACAGGCGGCGCAGCTGGCGGCACAACAACTCACATCTGCTCCAGGGCCCATCGACCTGAGTGGGGCGGCGGCGGCGGCGGCAGCTCCGACGATCACTATGGAGCAACTGTCCAACATTCACCACTACCGCACCACTCAGCAGCACCACCACCACCAGCACCACAGCCAGTCGGAGGCGGCGCTCTACGACGGATCGCTGCTCGGGTCAATGCTGCAAAGTCAGCACTACCACCTGAACGGTCCCCCCAGTCCTGGATCGCCGGTTTCCGGCCACCCGAATGGCGCCAGTCCTGCCGCTTCGGTTTACAATGGCCACCACGGATCGGGCAGCATGTCGCCGACAAAGAAGCTCTCCAAGCCTCTCATTGAGAAGCGTCGTCGTGATCGGATCAATCGATGCTTGCGGCTGCTCAAAGAGTTGGTTATCGATTCGAAACGGTTTCCAGTTGCCAATGTAAGTTTTTGGAAGCTTTTTGCCCCAAAAACAACCCATTCGTTTCTCGCAGTTGAACAAGTCTCGCTTTGAGAAAGCCGACATTCTGGAGATCACCGTGAAGTACCTGATGACGATTCAGCAGGAGGAGCGACGTGCCTTTCAGATGGGCTTCAACACCTGCCACCAGGAGATTCTGAAGCTTGTTCAGGAGCTAACTAACGGCGGCAAGGAACAGGATGGCTCAAATGAGGAGGCAATGGTGCAGGGAGAGGAGGATGAAGCCACTCTGGAGGAGGCTCCTTCGAAGCCGTCCAGCAACAGCGGTCACACTGCCGGCCCTTCCGGAGCCGACCTGGACCTGGTCAAGCAGCTTTGCTCCCGACTGACTGTCTTGGGAGAGCAAATTGCCGTCGAGCAGCAGGCCCATGCCCAGCGAACTGCCAGCCTCACCAACTTGGTTCTCGAGCTGAGCGAAATAAAGTCTCGAAGTGCCTCCATCACCTCGGACCACAGTGGCGAGGTCACACCTACCTCTCTGGGACACCGAGAGCACGGCCAGTCGCCGTCGATTGAGGACCTGCTTCAACTGGATGGCATGAGACTGTACGAGTCAGATGAGGAGCCCTCTCCGCTGATGCTGAAGCAGTACTTTTCTCGGCAGCAAGGCAGCAACTCGGCCGCTGGGTCAGCTTCAGGTTCGAGCAGCGGTGTCATTAAGCACACCAGCAACTACCACCCGCAGGAAGGAAGCAGTCAGGTGAAGCAGGCTACTTCAGGTGGTCACTGGCCAATGAACACGGCGGCCAGCCACCCATCAAACAGTCCGGCAGCCATGCTCGTTGAGGGCCATCATCTGGCGCCCGCCTATCACCACCGATCGTCATCGCTGAGCACTGGAAAGTCTACCTCCTCATCCTCCTCATCTGCATCTTCGTCCTCGAGTAGCTCTTCTTCCTCTTCCTCTTCCTCTACCACTGCCGCCACAACAGGCCCATCGGCGACCTCCTTTTTCAAACCAGGGCAGCCGACGGCTGTGGATCCTTCGCTGATCAACTTCACTCAGTCGCCCTTCTTCACTGAGCTGAACATGTCGGGAGGAAATGAACGCAACAGTGGAGCCATGAGCAACTACGAAGCGATCTGGCGACCGTGGGGCTTCAACGCCTAAGGAGGGGGAGGAGGGCCACACTGACCACAGGCTCAAAGTCTCCAGCAGATGTAAGTAGTAGCCGTGTAGAGGCTACGTGACTTGTCGTTGCGGTCGGCATTGTCGACCTCTTGGCTATTTGCCCTCAATTCGAGACAGCTCCTTCATCTCGAAGCCCAAACAAAACCTGGCGCCATTCAGTAACTTTCTGGCAGCAGTTTCTGGCTCTGCCTTCCAAATGCATTCCGGCCAAAAAAATATATTTTACTGGTCTGAATACTGTGCATGTGTGAGGTACTGAGAGCCTGTACAAAGCTTCCCGAA